AACATGACACCACGCACACACAGAGCGATTAGGCAGTCATTAGAGGTGTATGTTTACAGGAATTGTGTTTTCTTTTCTACCCTTTGTGTGTGTGTGTGTGTGTGTGTGTGTGTGTGTGTGTGTGTGTAGTAATTCCAGCCCTTATAATCAAACTAAAGCTTTTGCTCTGAAATGCAGGTTCAGATTACCTAGCAGGCCATCTGACCAAAAGATATTGATGTTGCCATGCCAATAGCAGACAACTCAGACACACACACACACACACACACACACACACACACACACACACACACACACACACACACACACACACACACACACACACACACACACACACACACACACACACACACAGGAAAGTTAATTAATAGCTATTTTTTCAATTCAATTCAAGATTATTTATAAAACGCCAAGTCACGACAAAAGTAATCTCAAGGCACTTCACATAATAAATATTTCAATACAGGTCAGTTCATTAAGCCAATCAGTAAAATGTTTACTATATATGGAGCCCAGCAAATTGTACACTCCACCTCTCTCTTCTCCACCACTTGTCCACATCTAGGATAACACCAGATTTTAACCATAGGCCCTATCAAATAAAAATGTTTTAAGCAGAGTCTTAAAAGTAGACAAGGTGTCTGCCTCACGGACTAAAGCTGGGAGCTGGTTCCACAGGAGAGGATCCTGATAACTACAAGATCTGCCTCTCATCCTTTTTTTAAATATTCTGGGAACCACCTGTAAACCTGCAGTCTGAGAGCAAAGTGCTCGGTTAGGAACATATGGAACAATCTGATCACTGATGTATGATGGAGCTTGATTATTAATGTATTATGGAGCTTTATGTGTGAGTTCCCTAACCCTAACCCTTAAAATCTATTCTGAATTTAACAGGTAGCCAATGTAGGGAAGCTAAGACAGGAGAGATATGATCTCTAGTTCTCATCAGAACTCTAGCTGCAGCATTTTGGACAAGCTGAAGACTTTTAACTACATTCTGTGGACTTCCTGAGAGTGAGTTCCTAAGAGTGAGTTCCAGTCCATAGATGAGAACATCAGTCTTGTCTCAATTTAAAAGCAAAAAGTTTAGAGTCATCCAATTTTTTATGTCCTCAAGACAAGCCTGTAATCTACCTAACCGATTAGGTTCATCAGGGTTAATGGATAGATATAAGTGAGTATCGTCAGCATAACAGTGGAAGTTTATCCCATGCTGTGTAATGATTTTACCAATTGGGAGCATATATATAGTAAAAATAATTGGTCCAAGCACTGAACCCTGTGGTACTCCACAAGTAACCCTGGAGTATGAAGAAGATTTGTCATGTACATTTACAAAATGAAATCTATCCGACAGATAGGTTTAAACCAGCCTAGCGCTGTTCCTTTGATCCCTACAACATGTTCAAGCCTTTCTACAAGAACATTGTGATCTACTGTGTCAAAAGCAGCACTGAGATCTAACAAGACTAAAACAGACACAAGATTCTTATCTGAGGCCATGAGAATATCATTTGTAACTCTCACTAATGCAGTTTCAGTGCTGTGATACTCTCTGAAACCAGACTGAAATTCCTCAAACAGATCATTAGTGTTTAAATGCTCACATACTTGGATGGCCGCTATTTTCTCCAGGACTTTGGATAAAAATGGAAGGTTAGATATTGGTCTATAATTCATTGGGTCATGTGGATCCAGAGAAGGCTTCTTAAGTGAAGGTTTGATTACAGCAACCTTAAAATCCTGTGGTACATATCCATTTACTAAGGATAGATTGATTATATCTAGAATGGGGGCAGTAACCAAAGGAAATGCATCTTTAAATAATTTGGTTGGGATTGGATCCAAAATGCAAGTTGAAGGTTTAGATGAAGCTAATATTTTTGCTAACTCTGAAAGCTCAACTGGATCAAAACGGTTCAAACACAGATGAGGTTCTACAGTTACCTCTGATGCTGCCTCACTTACTGAGGAAGAAGAAATCGCGTTAGGGAGGATGCAACTGGTTTTATTTCTAATATAATTTATTTAACTCGTAAAAAAAATCCCATAAAATCGTTGCTGCTGATGTTTTTTACATTTTGGAACTTCAAGCTGTTGTGTATGCATTTTAAAAATAATATTCTTAGCACCAAACATTGATTCATCGACTGAATTGTAACAAACACTTGACCATCCCTTTAGGCAGGTTCCATGATTTTATAAAATGTTATCTCTTAATATATATCTGAAGTCCGATTTTATTAAAATCAACAGACTCATTTCAACATGCATTCTTTGTTAGGTTGTTTCTTTCTGTTTCAAAATGTAGACAAATATTACACACACACACACACACACACACACACACACACACACACACACACACACACACACACACACACACACACACACACACACACACACACACACACACACACACACACACACACACACACACACACATACACACACACACACACACACACACACACAGAGGAAAGGTAACAATGGTCCATGATAGAGACACAAGCTCCTCTGCATCAGAGCAGTTATTTGAGGTGGGGAGAGGGAGGGAAGGAGAGTTTGTTTGGAGGGCAAGCAGATTGACTGGGCTGTGCATTTCAAACCAACAGCTCACAAGATGCCTTGCTATTCCAACTCCAACTGCTTTTATAGCCCATAGTAGCAGTGTAGCTGAAAAAATATGGTACTGCCTAATGTCACAGGGTACCTCTTCACCAATGGGGATGGCTGACTCAAATTCAGTGTAGGGTTTTACCCTAAAGAGGGTGCCACATTGATGACTTTAGGCTTAATTATTACATTTTAAGTAAGATGAACTAAAATCCCCAAAACAATTATTAAACACATTTTCATTAACAAACTCAACATAAAAGTGTAGCATAAACAAAAAATGGTAAGTTTAGCAGAATATATATTCCTCAAATAATGTATGCTCCCAAGAGGTCACTGAGGTGATCAAAAAACTCCTCAGTGACAAGGCTCTGGGGGTGAATGAGATCCGCCCTGATTTCCTTGAGGCTCTGTATGTTGTAGGGCTGTGTTGGCTGACACCGCTCTGCAATATTGCATGGACATCAGGGGCAGTTCCACTGGATTGAGAGACTGAGGTGGTGATCTCCCCATTTAAAAAGGGAGAGGTGTCAGAGCTTGGTCTGCATTGCTGGCAGTAAGTCGAGCTTGCTTCCTTTGAGAGTTGGCCTCTGCCAAGGCTGGCCTTGTGGACAGGATTCAAAGGCACAGCCAAGGTGTTGAGGGGATCCGTTTTTGTGGCCTGAGGATCAGGTCTTTGTGTGTTGCAGATGATGTGGCCCTGTTAGCTTCATCAGGCAGTGATCTCCAGCATTTGCTGGAACAGTTTGCAGCCGAGAGTGAAGCAGGTTAATCCAAGACCATTGCCTCGAATCAAAAAAGGGTAGAATGCCTTCTCCAGGTCAGGGATGAAGTCATGCCTCAAGTGGAGGAGTTTAAGTATCTCATGAGTTCATGAGTGAGGGAAAGATGGAGCACGAGTTTGAAAGGAGGATTGGTGCATGCGTTTGCAGTGATGCGGGAGTTGTACCGATCTTTCTTGGTGAAGAGAGAGCTGAGCTGGAAGACAAAGCTCTCGAGATACCAGTCGACCTACATTCCTACCCTCCACTAAGGTCACGGGCTTTGGGTAGTGACCAAAAGAACGAGATTGCAGACACAAGAAGCCAAAATGAGTTTTCTCTGCAGAGTGGCTGGGCTTTCCCTTAGAGATAGGGTGAGAAGCCCGGTTATCCCAGAGAGGCTCGGAATAGACCTCCTACTCCTTGTCCAGGCATGTCCAACTGGGAGGAGACCCAAGGGAAGACCCAGGACACGCTGGAGGGACTATGTCTCTCAGCTGGTTGGGGTGCGCCTTGGGGTTCCCCCAGAGAAACTGGCCCAGATGGCTGTTCCCATGACCCGATTCCGGATAAGTGGTTGCAAATGGATGGATGGATGTGTTCCAGCTACAGGAGATCACACTCCTGAGCCTCCCTGGTAAAGTCTATTCAGGTGTTTTGGAAAGGAGGGTCTATCGGATAATAAAATCCCAGATTCAGGAGGAATGACGTGATTTCCGTCCTGGCCATGGAACACTGGTCCAGCTCTATATTCTTTAGGGGGTCCTGGAGGGTGCATGGGAGTTCACCCAACCAATTTACATGTTTTGTAGATTTGGAGAAAGCATTTGACTGAGTTCCTCAGTATGGGGTACCAGGCCCTCTGATATGGGCTATAGGTCCCTATATGACCAGTGTCAGAGCTGGGTCCACGTTGCAGTAAGTCGGCTTGCTACTGGTGAGAGTTTGATTCTGCCAAGTCTGCCCTTTATCACCAATTCTGTTCATAACATTTAAGGTGTTGAGAGGATCCGTTTTAGTGGCCTGAGGATCAGGTCTCTGCTTTGTGCAGTGGTCCTTTTAGCTTCATCAGAACGTGATCTCTGGCCTTCGCTGGAGCAGTTCGGGGCTCGGAGTAGACCTGCTGCTCCTCCACACTGAGAGGAGCCAGTTGAGGTGGCTCGAGCATCTGATTAGGATGCCTCCTGTACACCCCCCTGGTGAGGTTGTCCAGGCAAGTCTAACCAGGAGGAAACATAAAGGAAGACCCAGGATATGCTGGAGGGAATGTCTCTTGGTTGGCCAGGGAATGCTTAAAGCTTGATTTATACTTTTCCATTCACGGTGGTCTGGCGACACACAATGTCATTGTCGAGAAGTCTTAAGGGAAACTGTCTTTGTCAATGCATGTACGTGACTCTGCATTGAGCTGTTGAAGAAATATCCATTAGGTTTTAGATTCCCATGGAGGAGCTGGCCCAAGGGGGTGGGGAGAGGGAAGTTTGGGCCTGTCTTCTGCTGCTGCCCCCATGATGCGACCCCAGATAAAATGGATGGATGGATTCTCCAAGAAGTTCCTAGGATCAACCAAACATATCTCCATCGCAATTGTATTTATTATTTTTGTGTGTTTTCACTCAGAAAGGCGTTGTGCTGGTCCATTGCAATTCCGGTGTGTCACGTGCACCGGCTGTGGTTATTGGCTACCTGATGTCATGTGACGGCCAGTCCTTTGATGAGGCATTGTCACTGGTTAAATCGGTTCGACCTGCCTCTGACCCAAACCATGGCTTCTTGGAACAACTGAAGAACTACAAAACAGCAATGGTGAATGGATCCAAACACTAAAGGATGAGTGTTCAGGGTGGTTAATCACAAGTTGTCCAATTTGCTCAAGAATTTATTAGAAATAACAAAAAGTTTTAGTGTAGGGTCTGATTGTGAACGGAGCAGGACAAGTGTACAGATGTGATTTTCTGATTTGTCCTCTATCACTTTCTGTCCATTTTTGTAAATTATAAGATATTATTAATCTCCTCTGTGTGTTACTTCTTCCTATTCAGCAATGTGTGTATTAGCATTTAACTTTGTGACAAAATGATGCTGACAATAAAACTAAGCAGCACCAGAAGTGATTGTGTTGTTGAAATGTCTGTAAAAATTAAGCTCCCTCATAACCGTGGTTTCAACATATGTTGGGATGGTGTGTACCTGTAAATAAAAACTGACAATCAGCAGATCGTTTGGTCTAATTGTTCTGATAACAAAGAAAAAACAAACAAGAAAACAGAAAAATGAAACAATGAGACTCAAAATGTTTAAACATATTTTAAAATATGACCCCATAATCTAAGAGCCTAATACATGCACACACAGACAGACAGACAGAGACAGAGAGACGTATTAACTAAAACAGATAATTGCTTGCACACACACACACACACACACACACACACACACGAGAGTTGGTTGAGTCGAGGTGAGTATATCCAGGAGAGGGAGCATGGGGGAAGCAGGGGAGTGGAGTGACTGGAGAGATGGAGAACACTGGGGAGCTGCATCCAGAAAGTTATGTAGAGGCGGTGAGTATCCTGACGAGTTTAGAAAATCCAGAAGAGTTCCTTCAACAGAGATTTTCCAAAATTCCTGAAGCAGGTGTGAGCATAAAAAACACAAAGCATATAAATCCAGAAGAATTACCAGAGGCTCAAGAAAACAAAGTACTAGGAGGCTGGAATCTACCGGGTAGTAGTAATCATCCCGCGTCAAGGTGTGTTCTCCAACTCCTTAAGAAGCCAGTGCTGTTGATTGCTAACCTGAAGCAGCTGGGAGCCTCCCTCTCCTGAAAAACAACTCAAAGATGGAATGTGCGACAGGAGTACTCACCCCGACTCATGACATGTGGGTTCAACTTTCATTTTGGAACAATTTTTCAAGCAAGGGAAGGGAAGCTCTGTGAAGCTGACGGACTGACCCATCTTAAACCTTTGTCGGCTGTGCTGAAGAGAAAGGTACAGAACCAAATTATTTAATTAATTAGCTGCATGTTCTCCTGTCCTCTGTCCTCCGGGCCACACACACACATGCACGCACGCACGCACGCACACACACACACACACACACACACACACACACACACACACACGGAGTTGACTGTCTCAGCTGTTATTTTCGTTAAGGAGTGTGCACGTACAGCATGCGCGCCTCGTGCACAAGCCTACTATTGAAGCTGAACAAGTGAGTCTTCAGCTGCTTTTTGAAGGAGACCACTGAGTCCACTGATCTCAGGCTCAGGGGAAGAGAGTTCCAGAGTCTGGGGGCCACAGCAGCAAATGATCTGTCACCTTTGGTCTTTAGCCTGGTGCGCTGCACAACCAGTAGACTTTGATCACTGGACCTCAGGGACCTGCTGGGGGTGTAGGGACTAAGAAGATCACCAATGTAAGATGGTGCTTGTCCATGTAAGGCCCTATAGACCAGAACCAGGATCTTGAAATGAACCCTGAAGTTGACTGGCAGCCAGTGAAGCTGGAGGAGAAACGGGGTGATGTGGGTGTGTTTGGAGGACTTGGTCAGAAGCTGAGCACAGGTATTCTGAACCATCTGTAGACGGTTCAGGGAGGTTCTGCTCAGACACGTGAAAAGAGAGTTACAGTAGTCTAAGCGTGAGGAGATGAAGGTGTGGAGAACTGTCTCAAGTTCAGAGTGAGACAGAATGGGACTCAGCTTAGTAACGTTCCTGAGATGGAAGAAGGAAGAGCGAACAAGAGAACTGACATGAGAATCCAGGGTGAGAGCTGGGTCAAAGGTCACGCCAAGATTCCTGATGGAAGGTTTGGTGTGAGAAGCAAGCTGACCAAGAGAGTCTCTGACTTTGGGAACCAGCTTGTCTGGGGCACAGATGAGGATCTCAGTCTTATCTTCATTCAGCTGTAGAAAGCTCCCAGCCATCCAGGTTTTGATAGTCTAAAGGTTGGTTTATGCTTGACGCGTCCGCGAGGTCCGCACGGCTCCGCGCGGCGAAATTGCGTCATTTTAACAACCACGCCCCTCCACCGCGTGTCCGCACGGCCCAAAATTTCCGCAACGCGCACCTCGGAAAATTTCTAACCACGCGGACGGACGGACGTGGAAAAACATGGCGGACTGGCAAGAACTAGTATGGCAGAGGTTCATAAATACAGACATTTGTATGATTCAGCTCTCAAACATCACCGTGATCAACATGTTGTTAATAATTCTTGGAGAGAAATAGCTCGCACTGTCGGAAAAGACGAGGAAGCTGTTAAAAATGCTGAAATGCCATAAAATGCTGAAATGCCATGTTGTAAACAGTAATTTCTACTTCTCCTACGGTGTAGTGTTGGATGCATGCTGTAGAGCTCCATGCTGCCCCCTACAGTTTGGGAGAATATTGGCTCACCGCAGAGACAAGCCGCACGAGCCATAAACGCTGCGAGTTGTGAAGCGCGTTCCATCCGCGAGCCGCATCACCGCGCGGAAAGTGAATGCGTCAAGCTTAAACCAAGCTTAAGCAGGTGTGTAACAGCTGCAGCTTAGACATCTCATGGGGCTTAAAGGAGATGTACATTTGGATGTCATCTGCTTAAAGATGGTAGGAGATTCCTTTGAAGGAGCTCAGGGTGTGCTGAAGAGGAAGCAGATAGAGGAGGAAGAGCAGAGGCCCCAGCACAGAACCTTGTGGGACACCATGGGTAAGAGAGGTGGTGGAGGACCTAAACTTGGAGACGGCCACAGAAAAGGAGCGCTCAGAGAGATAAGAGGAGAACCACTCCAGAGCAGATCCTGATAGGCCTACCCAGTCCCTCAGCCTCTCCAGTAGCAGGTGATAGTCAACAGTGTCAAAGGCTGCAGTCAGGTCCAGCAGGACCAGAACAGAACAGTCCCCTGCATCACTGTGGGTCAGAAGGTCATTAGAGACCCTAAGAAGAGCTGTTTCAGTAGAATGAGCTCTACGAAAACCTGACTGGAAGCTATCATAGATGTTATGTTGTATATGTATATTCATGTCTTGTAGTAATTTGTTCCATTTTGTAGACTTGTCTACCATTGTGCCATCCTTGGGGGTTCTTTGTCCAGCCATAAAACTGAAATGTACTTCTTGGCAGTCATGAGCAGAATTCTTATTAAAGAGCAAGTCACCCCCTACAAGGAACTCACTCCACTCCCAGTTCATTTTTGAAATATGCAACAAATGCTGTGGCCTGGCTACTGGAGCCACTAACAAATACGCACTGGCTAACATCATTGTGACATCATAATGTACCAGCTAACGTCAGTGTACCTCTTAAGCAATAGCGACGGTAAATTTAAATCAAGTGTAGTGCAGAGTTTTTACCTGACAGTTTTAGGCAGAATATTAAAATTTTAACAAAGATGCACTAAAGTGCCAAACTATTACTACATGTGTCTACGGCACGATTAGACACTCATTTATATAGTTTATCAGAGAAAAAAATAAATACAAGTTCATTTGGGGGTGACTTGTGCTTTAAGTATGTGCCAGTTCTGTGTGCAAGATTTTTGGCCAGCATTCCCAGTACAAACCATTTGTCATTTTGTGGTGTAAATATTTAACCCACGACATGCAGAATCAACATGGAGACTTGGATAAAAGGTTTAAATAATTTATTAAAAGGGGAACCAAGGGAGCAGCATAATCATAGCTGAGATCTTCAAAGAGGAATCCGGTGCGGGGATCTGCGGACAGATAGGAGTTAGGTCCAACTCGAGGTTGGGAACAAGGAATCAGAATTATGTGGAGGACTTGCATGGAGAGAGGGAATCGCTCGAAGGGGGAGTGGTCCGGTCTGGGTTGAAGGGGTTATCCTGAGGCTGAGATCCAGAGAGCGAGACGTGGAGGGAGCTGAGCTTTAAGACGTGTAAATCCAGGAGGGCATAGGTGAGCTACTGGAGGTGGTTCTGGCCAGGGAGAGACTGAGGGATGAGCGGGGTTGGAGTTCCAGAATGCTGCCAGTCTGAGATGAGGGTGTAAGTTTGTCTGGGAACAAGAGCAGGAAGGTAAAAATGCTAAAATCCAATATTCAAAAAAAAAAAAACACATCAAAATCTCAAAAGGTCTAAGAGCTCGAATCTAATACGCGAAGTGGCTGTTAGAAGGTACCCAGGTACCGCAATCATCCAGCGAAGTGAAGGTGTCTCTCAGCTGCTTAAATACTCCCTGGCCGGCTGATGAGCAGATAAGTCTGCAGCTTGGCCACCTCCGGACACGCCCACCTGCAGAAGGAAACTCAAAACCAAAGAGTGATGGCAGAAACAACCCAGACCGTGACAATTTTAACTTAAATTGTAATTCCACCTGTAAGGTTCTTTTAATTTCTCTTTGGACACCTTCCCAGAACAGTATGATCTTTGGGCAGTCCCAAAATATATGTGAGAAGTCTCCCACTTACCCGCATTTTCTCCAGCATTAGTTAGAAACGTGACTATATTTAGACATGATAAGTGGAGTTTTAACGTAGCACATCTTCACCTTCCATTCAAATTCCCTCCAAGACGGACTACTAGTTAGTTTATGACTTAAAGCGCTTTTCGTTTGTGAGAGTAGCACAATCGTTAAGATGACGTGACAGCACAGTTAAAATACACAAATTTATTTCAGATTTAAGAATCAGAAAAAAGTTAAAGGGTGAGCAGTTACAGTGCAGAAGGTGCGGCATAAGAAACATTCATTCAAAGAATTGATTGATTCAAAAGTTACTAGAGCACACGCCTCATAACTGGGAGGTTGTGAGATAGAGTCCCGCTCGGTGTGTGACTGCCCTCGTGTCCTTGGGCAAGACGCTTAAACCCACCTTGCCTGCTGGTAGTTGGAGGAGAGACCACCAGAGGCCTCGCCTCTATCAGTGCGCTCCAGGGCAGCTGTGGCTACCTTGCATCTCATCATCACCAGCGCCTTGGGGGGTTACAGAACCCTAAAAGGTGCTATATAAACACAGGCCATGTACCATTTGTGGGTGTGCCTGACTTTAGATTAATTATATGTATTTCTGGATTTATAAGAGCCAAACAGGCCAAAACCGCGACATCATTGTGTTTCACTGGTTTGATTTTGTTTATATGCTGGGATGTTGTGAAAACACAATGCTCCAAATCTAAACTAATAACTTCTGTTTAGTTTATTTCATCTGCTAAGTCCTTTTTCTATCAACATTCTGGATTTTCTGCAGGATCTAGTCTGTTTGCAACAGATTGTTTTTGGAAATCAGACTTTTTGCAGTGATTTTCTACACTGCAATTGTGTTTACCTTTCCCTTGTTCATACATGCATAAACAATGTCTTTGCAAACGTAAGAGATCATTAAAATGTATCCTAATAACGGTTTTTGATCTAGTAGACTAAGGTGATTTTCTCATGGAGTGATTATCTTTTCTAGGAAAAGTTTTTTAAAATTATTTCTAGATCACTCAATCAACTTTATTTATACAGCACTTAATCCTACAATGCATGCAACTCAAAGTGCTTAACAAATTTAAAAGGCCCCGCGTACCCACATTCCCTCCCATCCCCAGAATTTTAAAAACAGTCTGACAATAAATAACCCTTCACTACACTCATCCTCCAGCACACATGCACGCACAATGGACTGAGATCAGATAATCCAGACCTGCTAAGATAAGGAAACGCCATCAGGGGAGCCATCCGACCCGACAGCAGCAGATCCACAGCAGCAGCCGAGGCACCGACACAGGGCGCCCAGGGCGGGGAGGGCAGAGACCCCCACCTCCACCCAGGCACACCTGGAAAGCACCCAGGCCACCACAGCCGACCACCGCCCCCAGGGCAGAGGGCTCCCACAGAGGAAACACTGGAAAAAGGTTAAATTAAGGTTAAAATATAAAATAATAAGAGCTAAAATGAGAATTGTAATGTAAAAAGTTATATAGATATTAAAATAATGTTGATCATAAATCTATGGTAAAATACTCTGTTTAAAAATTGCACGTATAAAGAAAGAATACATAAAATAAATAAATAAATAGATAAATTACCTAATTTATTTATTTATTTTAAAAGTGATGGTAATCAGTTAAAAGCTAAGCTAAAAAGATGGGTCTTGAGCCTGTTTCTAAAAACATGAACGTTCTCTCCGGCCCTGAGGTCCCCTGGCGGCTTGTTCCAGAGGCGAGGGCCGTAGTACTGGAAGGACGCTTCGCCGTGAATATGTGTCCTCACTTTAGGGATGACCAGCAGACGGCTGCCAGAGGAGAGCAGAGACCGCGTGGGTTCATACGGTAAAAGCAGTTCTGAAAGATGAGAAGGCCCAAGATCGTTAAGACACTTAAAAACCGTCAAAAGTCTTTTAAAATCGATCCTGAAACAAACGGGATAGAAAGGGCTTGACCACATTAGAGTTCAGAGTTACTAAAGAATCATTCTGAAATTGTTTGTTTTGCATTTCTAAGCATTAAAAACTTCCTTACTGAAGTGTTTTAGAAATATCTGTTTATGTTTTTATTTTTACCGTCTGCTGGACTGCTCTTATTTATAAACAATAACGTACATTTGTTTTACTTTGATAATTTACCCAGAAGGCATGCAGAGGTTCAGTCAGATCCTCACTGAGACGAGTCCGATCAAAGATACTAAGTGATTTTTGTTTTCATCTCCTCTGCAGGTGACATCATCCCTCCTGACTCCATCCTCCACTTTGATGTCCTGCTGCTGGATGTGTGGAACCCAGATGATGGCGTCCAAATCAACACCTACCACCAGCCTTCCACCTATAAGCATGTACAGTGTTAGTGGAAAAGCAAATAGATGTTCTATGTAAATGTCCTCAAATGTTATTGAAGTGCTTTTGACAGCTCACACAATTTTTAAACTGGAGGCCAAGAAGAAAATAACACCTTTAAATGTTGGAAAAACGACTTGGAGATTTAAGAAATTAGAAAAAAAATGCTTTTAATAATGTCAGGTATAGTTGCATCTTGAACACTTTTTAATGATCTTTTTTATTTTATTTTAGGGAAGCTAGTCATCAAGCAGGAAGAAGAGGAAGGAGAAGCACATGGATAAACCTGAGACATCTGCCTAAAAGTTCTCTTTTTAGTTTTTTTAACAGCAAGATTTCTGACCAATACTGGCCGTCGGCAGCACATCACTCCAATTTTAGCAAGACTTCACTTGCTTCCTGTGCACTACCGTATACGTTTTAAAATTTTATTGTTTGGTTTTAAGGCGCTGAATGGCTTAGCACCACCCTACATATCCGAGTTACTCACTCCTTATGTGCCAGGCAGGACTCTCCGTTCAGGTGACCCACACCTACTACAGTTTCCCCGTCAACGCTGCAAAACCCGTGGTGAACGAGCTTTTTCTGTCTGCGCTCCAAAACTCTGGAATGATCTCCCGCTGAATATCAGACTCTCCCCCTCCATTGGGGTTTTTAAGTCTCACTTAAAGACTTACTTTTATTCCCTTGCTTTTACTGCCTAGCTATTTTATCGATGGTTTATTTACACTGTTCTTTTACTGATTTTATTGACTTCTCATGGTTGGTTCTTTGTGTTTTGCTCTAGTTGTTTTATTCTTTTATATTATTCTTTTAACCTTATATGTTTTTACCCCTGTACATCACTTTGGTCAGCTCACATGCTGTTTTTAAATGTGCTTTATCAAATAAATGGAATGGAATGGAAATTCAATATACATGTATTTTAGATCTGAACTTAACAGCTCTGACTGTGTTGATGTAATGACCAGTGAAGCCTCAAGATGGCGCCCACATATCTGACAGTTCCACTTGACTGGGAACTTGTGACTCTCATTTTCATGAACATTACATCATCAGTGTTTAAAGCCTACACACACACACACACACACACACACACACACACACACACACACACACACACACACACACACACACACACACACACACACACACACACACACACACACACACACACACACACACACACACACACACACACAGCAAGGGTGGGGAAGGGGGCGTTTGATGTTTTCATCAGAGCTGAAACATAAAGTTATGTGCATTTGGAACTGAGAGGTGATGATGAGGAGGAAGAGGAGGAGGAGGAGGAGAAAGAGGGAGGTCTGTTGATTGCAGGATTCCATCACTCTTGGCAACCGTTGAGTTTCCACGGAAACGCTGGGCAATGTTCTCTGCTTCTTCTTTGTCCTCCACCATCACTCTGCTTTCTCGCTCACACTTTCACTCAGTCCCATCTATATCACTGGCGACCTCCCCCTTGTGTTGCCACGGCGATGCTCCGAGCCCGCCGCAGTGCAGGAGTCCAGCGCTGAACTGTGGGCTTTTCAATCAGGTCATCAGCTGATCGACTGGCTTTTCCTTGACTTTGTGTTTTGAAGTTCTGGCGAACTTTAGCCTTTCTTCTCCGTCACAAACCAAAGGCTGGGATTGGTGGAGCTCGTCTGGCGACATCACAGGAAGTTGGATTGAGTTGCAGAAATTCAAGCACTCTGTGCTGCAATCAGTGTTGATGTTTTCAAAACTCTGTGTTGCTGAGAGACATTAGGACACCTCCCAGGGAATTGATTCTGCTCCGTGAATACTTTTACAAACCTTCAACAGGATGAATGAGGAGGCGGAGGAGGCACAGCTGCCTGAGTGGGTGCCAGAAGATGAGGAGCAGCAACAGGAGGACAGACTTTGTGAGAATTTGTTTAGGAAAGAGGAGGATTCAAAGCCACTGGAAGAGGAGACAGAGGGGGTTATGCAGGAAGAAAAGAAGGAGCAACACAATGAGGAACAGGAGAAGCTGGAGGAGGTGCAGAATGGAGAGGAACTGCAGCAGGAGGATGATGAGCAGGTGCAGGGTGAGGAGATGCCACTCACAGAGGAACAGCAGATTGACAAGGAGCAAGAGGAGGTAGGAAAGATGGAAGATGTAGAGGAGAAAGAGGAGGAGGAGGAGCAAAAAGAAGTGAAGGAGGAGGTGCAGTGCGAGGAGATGTCACGGACTGAAGAACAGCAATCTAAAGAGCAGCAGCTGCAGACAGAGGAGGTGCAGCAACCTGAAGAGACACAGGACTTTGTTGACACTCAAGAGCAGAACCACAACAACCAGGTCCTGATCCGACTGAGAGGAATGTGAGTAAACACGTCAGCTGATGGCTTCTGCCTGCTGGTGATGATGATGAGGAGGAGGAGAATGGGGATCAACATGCCGCTGAGCTGGGAGACCATCAGTGTGGTTCCCTGGTTGCCGTGGTGATGTGATGGAGGGAGGAAAAATGACAGAAAATTGGTGTGTAGTGATGGGTATGTGAGAGGAGAGGGATGTGTGTGTGTGAGTGTGTGTGTGTGCATGCATGTGTGTGTGTGTGTGTGTGCTTGTGTGTGTGTATGTGCTTGTGTATATGTGTGTGTGGGTGCGTGTGTATGTGCTTATGTGTGTGTATGTATGTGTGTGTGTGTGTGTGTGCGTGCGTGTGTATGAGATTGTGTGTGTGTATGTGCTTGTGTATATGTGTGTGCGTGTGTGTGTGCTTACGTGTGTGTGTGTGTATGTGCGTGTGTGTGTGTGTCTCACAGATATTTTCACAGCGGTGTCTACTTAACATCACATCACAGCGACACATCTGCCTGCATCTCAACCTATGACAGCAGAGGCTGAGAAAAAAAACGTCTTTTTGTTCTCCTGTGTTGCCATGGTAACGACAGGGTGTTGCGATGCAGCAAAATCTATAAAGATTGACAGATCAGCAGCACGATGAGAATATGCTAATGAAGGTGGGACACAAACACAGGCTGTTAGACAAGTTGATGCTTCGACCTCAGAAACAGAAGCTCCTTCTGTTCCAGCTCTAGACACTCAAGGTCTGCTGTCTGAAACGAAGGATTTATTTGGATTTTTGGTGTAATTTTTGTTATTTGAGGGTTTCAAATTTGTTTAATTTGTGTAAGAGAAGGTATGAGAGAGAATCTGCTGCCTGGTGTTGAACAGGACTTGATGTTCCTCTACGACAGCCTAGATCCGCTCTGAGGATCTCCTGTGGCCTCTGACATGGAGATCTTTTGCAGGTTGGAGTCTCTGTAGGCCTGGAGCTCCACAGGAATGCTCAAGTAACAGCAGAATAGTTTGGATGTCAGAACCATTTAAACACAGTTTCTTCACTGAAACAAGACCTAGACATGTAGACCAAGTAGACTTCAGAAAGCAGACATCCAAGTAGAACAGCAACAACACACTATCTTGTCTCTGACTGCAGGGAGACTTATGACCCACCCCCTCCTAACGAGCACCTCATATCGTGTGGTTCACCTTGCTGCTGTGGTTTAAACAAAAACTTTTGTAACCTGGTTTAGCTGAAATCAGTTTTGAATGATTAAAATCACCATGAGTGTGTGTGGGGTCAGTAGGTAGGGCTCGCAGGCACACTCATACAACATGACAGCATCTTCAGTGAGGGGCTGGAAATATGTGGAAAGTTCACTCCGTGTTGACAGTGAGCCTTCGGGTTTTTCACATGGTGGTGAGGTGGAAATCTGGTTCAAACCAGTTCAATCAGGTGCAATTAGCACATGTAGAGAGCAGAGGCGCTGCTTTGTGACAACAGGCAGGGCAGGCGATTGCTTGGATGCCCCAGGCCACAAGGGGCTTCCAGGGGGCCAACAAACTTCCATCTCCGACTAGGAAGTGTGCTGCCGTTTCTCCATCAGTGGGGGTGCTATGGGTTCAGCTCCCTGGAAAGAGTAGATATTAACCTAATGATCCCTTTCTGGACCCATTGCACCAGAACCAGAACCACTTAAGGCAAGGCAGTTTCATTTATAAAGGACTCAGGGTTGTGAAGCTTTGCTGGTTTTGTCATGCACAACGAAACTCTTTTTTTGCTGCCCAACCGGATGCCAATGAACAATCAAGAATGTAAACTGTGCAGCAGTGATGGTGTGGCTGGAATAAACTCATGTGTCTGTCTGCTTTACGGGGATCTGATTTACTTTTGGAGTGTTTAACCCCAGTAAGGTCAAAAATAGATAAAAAATAAACAATGAAACAACTTCCTGCACCCTAGTTTCAGAACTCAGTACAGATTTAATATTTTATTTACTTGTAGCCTCCCTATAAAGGTTGGTTTATGCTTGACGCGTCCGCGAGGTTTGCACGGCTCCGCACAGCAAAACTGCGTCATTTTAACAACCACGCCCCTCCACCACGCCTCCGCACGGCCCAAACTTTCCGCACCGCGCACCTAGGAAAATTTCCAATCACGCGGACGGTCGGACGTGGGAAAACATGGCGGACTGGCAAGAACTAGTATGGCAGAGGTTCGTAAATACAGACATTTGTATGATTCAGCTCTCAGAGATCACCGTGATCAACATATTGTTAATTCTTGGAGAGAAATAGCTCGCACTGTCGGAAAAGACGAGGACGCTGTTAAAAAAATGCTGGAATGCCATGTTGTAAACAACAGTAATTTTTACTTCTACTATGGTGTAGTGTTGGATGCATGCTGTAGAGCTCCATGCTGCCCCCTACAGTTTGGGAGAATATTGGCTCACCGCAGAGACAAGCCGCATGAACCATAAACGCTGCAAGTTGTGAAGCGCGTTCCAGCCGCGAGCCGCATCACCAAGCGGAAAGTAAATGCGTCAAGCATAAACCAAGCTTTAGGAGCTGTCCACCAGATTAATGTAGATCCACATCCTCAACTTTTTGGAAGTAAGTGGCTTGTGTTTTAAAACGTAGTTCTCTTCTGCTTCATCCAACATTATAACTGGAACAGAAATCTCTCGTTTGGCTCACAATGAGTCCTACAATATTCTTCCCCAGTGAAGGTACAACAGACCTGTCCTTGAAATTTTGGGAAAATAAGAACGAGTTGGTAGTACGTTTTAAAGCTGCTATAGACCCATTGAATGTTATTGTTTACACCCGGGTAACTGCGCACACAAGATGGATAAGAGGTTTTTTTAAAGGGTAGGGCGATCCAGGTGAGGGTGGGTTCCACCCTTTTTTTCTTTTTTTTTAGCTGTTAAATAAAATTTTTATTTCATCATGTTCAGTTCATTCTGAAGTAAATATAAGATCAGATGAATGAAAATAGAAAATCTCTTCATCTTGTCAGAAAACCTTTTATCGTTAGGATGCTAAAAGAGAAGAAAGTTTAAAATAAAACATCTAAATGTGACTTTTCTTCTTCAGCCAAACATCAAACTTCTTTCTTCTCTTCACCTGTAAGAAGAAAACGGGAGTGATGAAGATGAAGATGTGACTGAAGTTTTTTTTTCCCGTGTCCTGTCTGGCTGTGAAGCAAACATAATTGATGTCTGAATGCTGGTGACAAGCCTTACAGATTTACTCTCAGGTGGAGCATCAAAGCTTCTGCTTTTAATGTCATGCCTGATATACTTTAAACTTTATTGTTTTTGAATGCTTTGTAATTCCGAACAGACAGAGACAAAAGGTGGTGGTGGGGATGGGGGTGTTCCACAAAAATAAACAATAATGAACAAGAGTCTGCTTCTAGACCTGCAGAAAGAAAGAAAACAAAAACAAAACAAACAAACAAAAAAATGGGACACAACTGCAATACAACTAGAGCAAGCTATCACTGCGTCAACTTGATGAGGAAATATATAATTGACAATGTTTTACTGAACAATCACACGATAATAAATCACAGTGCATTTAGTGCCAACCACAGCCTTAAGACATGTGTTGAATTTGCCCAAGTCCATACTTATAAGAGCACCATGTGAGCACCTGTGTGTGTACACGCGCTTGTTTATGTAAGGTTTATCTACAGGAGCGTCCAATAGAGAGTGTGAGGGGCCACAGATCTGCCCCCTAAAGATGTGCAGGAGACCGAGGGAGCTCCAAGTCCCAGAGATCCAGGAGTTGCCCCAGAACACAGGAACCCCAGGGAGACTGCGACCAGAAAAGCCCCTTTATATACTAAAGGCCCCCGGGGGGCCACAACCAGCAGCCAGCAGAGTCCCGGGAGATAACGGCGGCAAGCCCACAGGCCTGCCCGCAGCCTCCCACCCCCTAGCCGGCCGAGCCCGGGACACAGCGTCCCGGGACCCAGGGGTGACACCCCCGCCGGGGACCCAGCAGAGCCCAGGGACCCAGACCCCACCAGACAGCCACTGGGATTGATCAGGCAGAAGCCAAAAATCTTAAACTCCCTGACCCGGGAGCCATGACCCAGGAAGACCAAGGCACAGCACTCCACACCAGGTATGGCAGGGGGAGGGGAGACAAAGATCTATATCATCAAAAGAAGTCCCAGGAGAAGGGAGGAGTCAAAGTCCCCACCTGACATATATAGTCATACAAAGGTACAGTCACACACTCCCTCCCTCATGCTCACACATACACATACAACCAAAGACTTAAAAAAAATACACGCCGGACACCCATTCATACTCCCCATACACACCCTATTCACTCTGGTCCCGGTACTGCATCACATGGGGTACAACCATTACCGGTTCCCAGAGTTCAACCCTTTCTGCTGGGGTGCTGATGAGCAGGCTCCCCCGCCCGACGCTGAGCACAACAACCCACCACCCCAGACTCCAACCGGACAGCCGGATCCCCCTCCTAGCCTTCAGACCCAGGAAGCCAAGCAACAACAGAGGTGTGCTAAGACCCCTAGTCTCCCTCCGCCTGCTCCAATATGGTGTTAGTGAGTGTTGATGAGGTGTATTTCATGGCTGTGGTGAGTGGGCAGTGCGGGCATCGTCTGGCCTATGCCAGCTGTTGCCACCACACCACTCCACTTGCACCCACAGCCCTCAGTGTCTAAGTGCAGTTTAAAATTGGAAGTGGGCACTGACACTTGGGATGAGGTTGAGAAATCCCCCTGCCAAATGCCGTTGAATGTGCTCACTCCCAAGGCCCTAAATGTGTGTTTGCGTGAAATGTCATTGGTGGAAATGTTTAAGGTGCAAATAAAATTGGGGGGCAGGTTGCCACAGGAATGCAGAAATGGGGTCCATACACGCACTCCCTGACTTGTCCATCCCCCAAGGTCCTATGTGCATATTTGTGTGATAATGTGAGGGGCCAGGAGGAGAGAAATGTGTGGGGATGGGGAGGAATGGCTGGTTGGGCTTAGCCCTCCAGGGAGCCAGCT